TCAACCTTCAAGAAGCTTAGGAATTGGTACACATAACTATCTTATTAACAACACTTGTAGTTCTTAGGGGGGAATTTTGTCGAAATCAAGGGGAGCATCCTGAAGCATACTCATTTGACCTTAATATATGTTTTTTATCTCTACGATCACGAGCATTTTTTCCGATGAGTTTTTGCTAACTTGACAGATTTTGATGAGACACCACATGGGGCTAGTCATATCTTTGTGCTTGTTTTCTACTACTTGATGCATCTTGGAGATGTCAAGTATCGACATTGCATTAACTCACATGTTTCTTCTTAAACTATGGGTTGTCCCACCGAGCTTACTGTACCCAATTTTTAGTAAGACTATCTCCTTAATTATATGCAGCCCTTCTCCTGTGGCAAAGGAGAACTGACGATAACAACCATGATCTCCTAATCATAAAAACCTGATTCGACTACTTTTTAAGTTCTACACAGTCAAGGGGAGTGTTGTAAATAGTGTTTCAAAACTAGTGTGATTGTGTAAATTAGAAGTAGAATCCTATAGGAACTAGAAGATCATTTTCTTGTACAACATGTACTACTTGTAGAGCAAGTAAAACACATCATGTTTAGTATAAATAAAAGAACTAGACCGCATGGGAATTTACATATAGAATTGCTCAAGTCTCTCTCTTTTCTCTCTTCTCTTGCCGGCCCTTCCTTTACCTTCTCCCAAATAGTTAGTTTTACAATAATTTTTAATATTGAATATGCAGTAAAAAGTTGGGAGCTTTTAGTTTAAAGGGAATCTTGGATAAAATAAATATAAATGTAAATCCATTGTATGCTAAATTGGCCATAAATTTGAAGGAAATATATCATGTTTAGGATAAGCCACATATTCTATTGTGAGTGGGCCTATTACTAAATAAAAGATGTGGACGCTTATCATAATTTATCTATTTTCGAATTTTATAAGCTTTATTAAAGCTTGAAATTGACTTTGAGGGTTTAGATTCTAGAACACATCGATGAAAATTTATGGCTTTGAATGGCAGAGTTGTACTAACCAAATCTCGGTCTGATGTCTCTTTCCAATGTTTGATCATACGAAATCTACATTTCCAATCTATTTCTAAGAAAGAAAAAAAAAAACTTTATTTCACCACAAAAAAACAAAAAAAAAAAAAAAAAAGAAAAAAAAAAAAAGAATTGCCATTCTGCCAAAGAAAGAAACCAAAATCTAAGACATTGCCTTGGCCATCACGGTAGCTGATAATTTGGTTTTCAAAGGTGACAAGAACGTTTTGGACAATAACTAATAACGAAGGATATGGATCCTCTCCGGATCCATTGGTCCTAATCCATTAAGTCACATCATCTAGGCCATTGAAATTTTATCAAATGGTTAAAGTTATTATAACTTTTAAAATAGACCCTTATTTGTAACCGTTTGATCAAATTTTAATGACTCGGATGATGTGATTTGATGGATTAGGATCAATAGATCCGAAAAGGGGGGGGGTCTTGTCAATTCCGAGGCTTGACAGATGCCCAACTCATGATTCTCTCTCCGCGTCAATATTTTGCATTAAAGCCCCAATGGTTGAATAAACTTTGCTTCATGGATTATACAAGATTAAAAATTGATTTTAGTCCCTAAACTCTATTAAATGTCGGCATATGTATTCACTCTCTTTTTTTATTTATAATTTTATGGTGTTCATAAATTAAATTTTATGAAAATATTATAAATTTTAATTCTCATTATGCTGAGTATCTTATATAAGAAAATATTTTGGTAGAGATTTTTCGGTACATTTCTATTTTTGCATGTTTTCTTAAGTGCCGCTAATTCATTACAATATATTTAGATACAAACATTTCGGTACACCGGGTTAGTATAATATGTTTAGGTGCGGATATTTAGGTACACTAGTTTAGTATAATATATTTAGATATTGACATTTTGATACACTAGTTTAGTATCATATAGTTAGGTACAGAATTTTCGGTACACTTATATTTTTGCATATTTTATTATGTGCCACTAATTTACTACAATAAATTTAGGTACGGACACTTCGGTACATTAATTAGAGGAATTAAATAAAATTTATGAATTAAAATGTGTACAATAATAAATTTAAAATTTAATGTAATGACATTAAATAAGATATCTATTAATTATTAAAATAAAAATATAATATAAATTTGAATTAAGTACACATTAAGGGACTAAAATCGATATCCAATCTAACACGAGGTTTTTATTAAATTTTAATCTTCTTAAAGGATTAAAGTTCAAAAACCCCTTATAATTATATATTTTTGTAGTCTAGGGCTTATGCAATTGCAAAGGCTATGAAGGTGAACAAAGTTTTTTTCAAGCAAATTTTTGACCTATTTTAAGCAAGGTCTAGTTATTGGAAGAATTAAAGTTTTTTTAACTGAAGTTTTTTTTTTTTAGCTAGAGAATTTCTAAATTGTTCTTACATATTGAAACGAGCATGCAAACTTAGGTACAACCATACAAGTGAGCGATATCCAATCTAACACGAGGTTTTTATTAAATTTTAATCTTCTTGAAGGATTAAAGTTCAAAAACCCCTTATAATTATATATTTTTGTAGTCCAGGGCTTTTGCAATTGCAAAGGCTATAAAGGTGAACAAAGTCTTTTTCAAGCAAATTTTTGACCTATTTTAAGCAAGGTCTAGTTATTGGAATAATTAAAGTTTTTTTAACTGAAGTTTTTTTTTAGCAAGAGAATTTCTAAATTGTTCTTACATATTTAAACGAGCATGCAAACTTAGGTACAACCATACAAGTGAGAGATATCCAATCTAACACGAGGTTTTTATTAAATTTTAATCTTCTTGAAGGATTAAAGTTCAAAAACCCCTTATAATTATATATTTTTGTAGTCCAGGGCTTATGCAATTGCAAAGGCTATAAAGGTGAACAAAGTTTTTTTCAAGCAAATTTTTGACCTATTTTAAGCAAGGTCTAGTTATTGGAATAATTAAAGTTCTTTTAACTGAAGTTTTGTTTTAGCAAGAGAATTTCTAAATTGTTCTTACATATTGAAACGAGCATGCAAACTTAGGTACAACCATACAAGTGAGCGACAGCCAATCTAACACGAGGTTTTTATTAAATTTTAATCTTCTTGAAGGATTAAAGTTCAAAAACCCCATATAATTATATAATTTTGTAGTCCAGGGCTTATGCAATTGCAAAGGCTATAAAGGTGAACAAAGTTTTTTTCAAGCAAATTTTTGACCTATTTTAAGCAAGGTCTAGTTATTGGAATAATTAAAGTTTTTTTAACTGAAGTTTTTTTTTTTTAGCAAGAGAATTTCTAAATTGTTCTTACATATTGAAACGAGCATGCAAACTTAGGTACAACCATACAAATGAGCGATATCCAATCTAACACGAGGTTTTTATTAAATTTTAATCTTCTTGAAGGATTAAAATTCAAAAATCCCTTATAATTATATATTTTTGTAGTCCAGGGCTTTTGCAATTGCAAAGGCTATAAAGGTGAACAAAGTCTTTTTCAAGCAAAATTTTGACCTATTTTAAGCAAGGTCTAGTTATTGGAAGAATTAAAGTTTTTTTAATTGAAGTTTTTTTTTTTTAGCTAGAGAATTTCTAAATTGTTCTTACATATTGAAACGAGCATGCAAACTTAGGTACAACCATACAAGTGAGCGATATCCAATCTAACACGAGGTTTTTATTAAATTTTAATCTTCTTGAAGGATTAAAGTTCAAAACCCCTTATAATTATATATTTTTGTAGTCCAGGGCTTTTGCAATTGCAAAGGCTATAAAGGTGAACAAAGTCTTTTTCAAGCAAATTTTTGACCTATTTTAAGCAAGGTCTAGTTATTGGAATAATTAAAGTTTTTTTAACTGAAGTTTTTTTTTAGCAAGAGAATTTCTAAATTGTTCTTACATATTGAAACGAGCATGCAAACTTAGGTACAACCATACAAGTGAGCGATAGCCAATCTAACACGAGGTTTTTATTAAATTTTAATCTTTTTGAAGGATTAAAGTTCAAAAACCCCTTATAATTATATATTTTTGTAGTCCAGGGCTTATGCAATTGCAAAGGCTATTAAGGTGAACAAAGTTTTTTTCAAGTAAATTTTTGACCTATTTTAAGCAAGGTCTAGTTATTGGAATAATTAAAGTTTTTTTAAATGAAGTTTTTTTTTTAGCAAGACAATTTCTAAATTGTTCTTACATATTGAAACGAGCATGCAAACTTAGGTACAACCATACAAGTGAGCGATATCCAATCTAACACGAGGTTTTTATTAAATTTTAATCTTTTTAAAGAATTAAAGTTCAAAAACCCCTTATAATTATATATTTTTGTAGTCCAGGGCTTATGCAATTGCAAAGGCTATAAAGGTGAACAAAGTTTTTTTCAAGCAAATTTTTGACCTATTTTAAGCAAGGTCTAGTTATTGGAATAATTAAAGTTTTTTTAACTAAAGTTTTTTTTTAGCAAGAGAATTTCTCAATTGTTCTTACATATTGAAACGAGCATGCAAACTTAGGTACAACCATATAAGCAACTTGGGTGCAAGAGTAAAAAACATGGAAGTTCATTCTAACAAGCCAATCATAGTTTTGATGCATGAAAAATTGGATTGAATCGAGCTTTTGACCAAGGTACTACATAGTCATCTACTTCTAGGACTTCGTTGTTGAAAGTAGGTTTTGCAGGGTTGGGTTAAGTTCTCAATGACTAAAGCTAGGTTTGGTAATTACTTTCTGAATTGAGTTGTTTTAAGGTATATAAATGTTGACTGATCGATGTATGATTCAAATTCAATATATGAAATCAAACTTTGAACTCAGACACTCAAGCAATTATTTGTCTCCTCCTTTTATCTAGGACTCAAATCAGTACTAGATCTAATCTACGATTACACTAACGAAGATACGAGAAGAGAACTATTCACATGTATGTATCATTCCTTCTGAATCAAAAGAGCAACTGCACATCTTACAGACTTATACTCGTCTCTGAATTAGACAACTTCCATGATTCTAATTTTGAACTGCACATGAAACTAAAAGTATATCATCGGATGCTTAAAGTCTTTCAGCTAGACTCGACTCAGACTGAACATTCCATCTTCAACTGTATGCATATGAAAGCCAATTGTTTTGCCGGAAGCAAACACATGCAGCAGATTTAATCGGTTACTTACTTACAGAACTGTTATTTCCAGATTTTGTGAGGCTTCTTCGACTTGATGCAAGAACTCTCGAGCCTTGAGTCTGAATTCTTCGGGGTTTCCACCATTAACTTCCTCATCACTTGATGTAACGACAGTAAGCTATTCCACGATCCGGCCATGTGTGAGAAGATAGCTGAGCAGGTCAAGTTCATGTTGTGACCCCATATAATCTTTTACTTCAACCATTCTCAGTGTTCGGGTTATGCACTCGTAAACTTCTACAGTTCCCTTCCACATCTCTTGAGGCTTCAGTACAGGAGTAACGTAATACTGACCAAGAGATGTCGCAAAAATAGTATTAAACATTAATTAATTAGATATCATATGCCATAACGTACCAAGAGAGATCACAAAAACAGTATTAACATTAATTAATCAATTATCAAATCCCATAAATATGATACAGCATGGTTAACTATGAGTACCTCATAAATTTCCTCAGGGCATCGTTTGATTGTAAGAGTCTCCAGATGAGGACAACAATTCAAGAAAAACTTGATGCCGAGTTGTTCATGGTGATGCATTGTCGTTTTCAGTGTCAAATCTGTCACTGTCAAATGAGGACTCGGAATAATTGGTTCCTGTTCCGTATGATTGATTATAGCCTGCAAACAAATAACACATAAATCTTAAATAACAAGGTTTGAAAGAGGTAGAACGCACCAACTAACGTGACGGTTCATATAAGAGGGTATTGTATAGTTTCCAACTCAGTTAATAGGGAATTCTTTAAATGTGGTTAATATTTACAGCGAAGTAGGTTGATAACAATCTTACATAGAAGCACCAAACTTGATTTGGGAAACGCTTAAGTAAATCCCAGCTGATTTCAGTAGAGTTTGAGTACTGGTTGGAGCTAAGTTCTCAGTCCTGTTTTACTAAATTTAAATTTGGGGCTTTTAGGAGATGTTCTGAGTCATGGTTTAAGCAAGGAATGGTGTTATCCTCGAGACATTCTTACTTCGCAGATCGCCTCATTTGTCATCTATAAAAAGGTTGTTTTGCTCAAATTCTCGGACACAAATCCAACTATATTCCTTAATCCTGTGATCATGCATGTAGCCCTATAATGTTATGAATCCGTAAGTTTTGTCAGTGCCTCTCAAGTTCAACAATATCTAATCCAACCACATTACTAGTGCAAACAATGAAACGTTGAAGAGAGAAATGTGTACCCGAAGAATGTAAGAGCAGACTGTCAACTTCCTTGAAGGGGGAAGTATATCGAGAATGGAATTGGGACTAGCAAAGCTATGAAAATCTATCACAAGGCTACGAGGAAGTATATCTAGAATAGAATTGGGACTAGCAGAGCCATGAAAATCTATCACAGGGCTCAAGTCGAGGTCCAACTCTTCAAAGAAATTGAATTCGCTACCCTCGCCTGTAGTCAATGCCGGCACATCCCCACCAACAAACTTCAAATAATTCAACTTTGGTGCTTCAAGATAAAAGGAATGCGGGTAATGAATGCTGCACCTATCAACCACCAAAGTTTTTAGCTTTAAGTCATTTCCACGAACGTCAAGGGAGTTCATCCCCCAACATTTCTTCAGACTCAGACTCTCAAGCAATCTACTTTGTGCTAACAGAGTTTCTTGAAGGGAAACTGGCAGAGCAATCCAACCCAATGAAATGTGCTTCAGCAGATGAAAATTCCCAACCAAATCCGCATCAAAATTGCAAGAAAACAGAGCTAGGGACTCAAGAACTCGGTGATTATACACATCCAAAGGCAAATCAAAATAGGACTCGTGGTAATCATACCCGAGTTCATCCCATGCGGGGTCAGAAAAATCGAGCGCCAACTGTTTGACAACATGCTTCACACAAAATTGAATGCAATCCAGCACGAATTGTTGGAAATTTTCAGTTTCAGAAAATGTGAGAGCAACCTTACCCACAGGCGTTTTTGGGCTGTTGTCAATCCAATGGCGCACAAAATCAATGAAAGTTAGTCTCTGAATCGCTCTGTCCGCCGGTGCTGCGTCAGTATTCACAAAGAAACGCTCGTTGAACTCGACGATTTGGGTCGAACGCCCAAGGCGACGCCATAGCTTGGAGAGAATGGAGTTTCTTGCGGCTTCTTTGAAGGGCAAGTTGGCGATGATGATCAGAAGGAGAGGTTCGGGTAACTGTGAGAACTTGTCCATGTTGTTAACTACTAAGTTGGCGGAGATACTTGCATTATATGAAAGAAGTGGCAGGAGTGATCGACGAAGAAGAAGGTGGATGTGAAGAGAAGAAGAGATTTCTTGTGGCACAATTTTGGTGGTTGGCGAAATGCTAAGTGCGTCTCTTCGGTTTTCTTTTATTTGCGTATACGAGGGAAGTGGCAGTTATAAGCACCGGGCGATATTCACTTGTTGTGGCCCTCTGGGTGTAAAAATGTAATAACAATATCGTTTTTTGTTTTCAGTTGTCACCCATAACTACTATTCAAAAACATGAAAACTAAAAGTTATATTTTTGAAAACGAAATGGTTATCAAACAATTCATACATTTTACACCTTTCAAACTTATAATATGATTCAAAACAAGCTGCGAAGTTTTAATTTTCTCAATTTGTACATTTTTAAAATCATCTCAATTTATGTTTATGTTTTTAGTCTGTTGACCATCTTGTTCTTCCCTAATTTGAAGATGGTGACTCTAGGACCCATTTATACGCTAACATACAAGACACACGTACTCATCATGGAGATTCGGCTTCTCATACATCGATGCTTTGTGTCCCTAAACAGCAATCAATTTCACAGTTTTGGTCCAAAATTTGCTAGTATGGCTATCATACGTAAATAGACGAAAAACTTATGGTCAAAACTAGCACAACTGAAACAAAAATGACTAAAGTGAAACATGAATTAAACTACATAGACCAGAAATAACTAAATTTGCTAGTATGGCTATCATACGTAAATAGACGAAAAACTTATGGTCAAAACTAGCACAACTGAAACAAAAATGACTAAAGTGAAACATGAATTAAACTACATAGACCAGAAATAACTAAATTTGACCTTTTTGTGTGTGTACAACTACATAGTAGAACAACAAAAAGATAGACGAAATATAAAGAAGAGAGAGATAACAAACGCAAAATATAAGATTAACTTGTATACTTTTCGACTTTAAATATTAAAGATAAATAAGGCTTGTTCGACATTGAATATTTTGTTCTATCCTCAACGGGGGATTGCTCCTTAGTTGGATCAGATGCCTCCAATGGTTTTGTGAGGGACGGTGTTGAGTGGCATACTGCATGATCACCAATTTGATAGTCAACTTATGATTGTTTCCTACTCCCAAGTTCTTCAAAAGATGGTATATTTGCTACTCCCAATATGAAGTATTTTTGACGTGCGAGCTAGCCTGGTTACTTCTCCACCATGCTTTGTGGCTGAAACGTATCTGTTTTAAAACTTTTCTATGTTTTTGGAGGTCAGCTGAGATATGGCTCTGTGACTGATCATGTCAAAGGTGCAAGAATAGGGTTCAAAGCATGGGAAGAGATTGAGGGAGGGTGTTCTTCCGTATGAATTCGTTCTGCGATCTCTGAGGTGTCCGTTTAATTGACTCGGTAAATGTTTTTGTGATTTGCCTTTTTCTGGTTTCATCTCAGCAAGCTCCGTCATATTTGTTGAATTAATTTTCAAGCCTTATACGTGAATAACATAACAAGGTGACGTAAAGCGAGTGTGACCATTTGACGTCATCACACGAGAACAACCTACTTTGATATCATAAAGAAGTTGGGATTCCACTATAACTTCAATTGATTATACGAGGAGTAGCCCAACCTCAGAAACTTCACAATTCTCAACATTCTCATCAATGTGAGATTTTTCTCAACATGTTTTCCTATGTTTTCTGTTTCTTTCTGTAAGAGCTACATCTAAAACAGAGAAGGCTGTTGAGAAGGTTAGGAAGTATGAAAGCAAAACCTTGAGAACTCATTCTGCAAAGTTGCTGATCAAGATTCTGGTCAGCCATATTTATACTAGATTTAAGATTCAACTCTTTTTTGTAATCCTTGTATCAGTTTCCTCATCTCTACTAATTAATAAAAAAACTCACCAAAATCTTATGAAATTACCAGTTTAACCCTCTAATGAAAACAGAACAAGAATAAGAAATATGGGGCAGAAATGTAATTTCAGACAACCAAATTTTGGTTTTTTTAATTTTTTCAAAACCTTACATATATGTAATCCTAACATATCTCTAATTAAAAAAATAAAAAAAAACTTCCCACTCCCACATTCTCTATGACCCTCTTCCTCTCTCCTTCTATTTCAAAAACAAAAATGAAAAATTTTCTCACACACTTTGTGTGTGCCCATTTGCTAGTTACAAATTACAACACATTTTGGTAATGAAAGTAACTGGTGGGATGTTTTCGAGTCTTGATTGTTGAAGTTTTGCCTTGATCTAGTAGACTTGTAAACTGATCGTTTTAAATTGGATGAGGCTTAATCCAAATTCAAATTCATTTATAATCAGATTCCGAAAGAATCAGAAAATATAAAAAAAAAATAAAAAAAATTGTGTGTAAGTGTATGTTGAAAGCATAAAAAGCTATAATACCCTTTTCTTTCGTCAGAAAAAAAAAGTTATTTAAACTACATATTAATAATATCCTCGTTGCCAATAAAAAAAGAGTAAAAATACTATTTAATTTTATATCACAATAAAAAAGTTAAAGCTAGTAACGTAATTTTCCAAAATAAAACTTTACTGTTTTTTCTTTAAACCTCATATACAGGTGATTTTAACATCTCTAATTTAAATATATAAAAAAATAAAAATAAAAAAGAAACCGCTCTCCTCACCATCGCCACTCTGTCTCACTCTCTTTCTCTCTACTCCAATAAAAAAACAAAATTAAAACTTTTATACACACTTTGTGTGTGGGCATATATTAGTATTTATAATAGAAATTTGCATACCATGTGATATTTTAGAGGGGAGGAAGGGCTTTAGTTTTGGACTCTGTTATTTTGATAGCTTGGTGAGTGGTCATGTATTTCTTGTAGTGCCATTCTTATGATCACTTACTCTTTGAATTTGACGTCAAAGATTAAGAATAAATATTAAATTTATATCTATTTATTCTCCAGTCTATGACCACAAGTTGACTAGAAGAAAATTTTGGTACTAATTTGCCACTCTGTGTAGTTGTTTTCGAACATGAGTACAATATCTCCAAAATAGAATCAAGATTGAAGATGGTGAAATAACTTTTTTTTATTTGACGATGTATTTACACAATAAAGGGTGGAGAAATAAATTAGTTGCAAACTCATTATTCCCGATATTAAAATTTAAGATCCCTCACTTATAAATAAAAATAAATACACCGTAATATTAAATGGCAAATGAAGTACTCGATCGAAAAGAAAAGGTATTTCCTGTTCTTTCTTCAGACTTGTTTCTTATCCGGCGCAGATTGTTCCTATTAGAAGAAAATATATCACATGTTGCTAGTTAGCCAATAAATCTGGAATAAATTATGGATGATAAAGCTTGATTTATGGTATGGTGGAGAATATTAACTCTTAATCATATAATATAATTGCAAGAATTTTTGTGCCTTAGTCCAGCATGAATCTTTTCCTGGATTCTTCATGCTTCCAGGAATGCGGTATGAATTTATAAAAGAGCAAGCAGTAAAACATTTTAATTAGTTCTAATATCCTTCATAGGCTACAGAGCTAGTCCCAGATCTTAAGCTATAAATACTTTGTAGCATGTTCATCGTACAAGATTTTATGTAACAAGTAGGGCAACGAAAAATGTTGCTTTTACGATCCAGTTTTGTGTTCCACATTTCAAATATTTATTCAATCGAAAGTCATATCGCAGCATCAGTACCTTAAACTAGAGCTGGTAGATCAGATGAAGCCTTTATTGTTCCGATTGAAGCTTTCCTTTCGAAACAATTCGATGAAATATCACTGAAACGATAAAAGATATACACCAGTCTAGCTCAATGAAACTGACAAGAAACAGAAAAAGCGAGAGGGAGAGATTTGCAGGCATGAATTACCTTTATCACCAGCCTGCCACTGATTTAAAAGCATGTCACCCTTGAGTCTAACAAATAAATGTTGGTCCTGCCATTTAGGTGAATCTCCACTCTTGTCCTGTCGTATCCCGCATCGCGATGAAGAGCCTTTGTATTTCAACTATTGCTGGAAAATGGGCCTGTATCATTCACACAGACATATATTAATCTTGATTTAACTACCTAGCTGATTTAATTAGCAAGAGATAGATGGTCAAGGACTGGTACTAGAAATCAAATACTGTACAAAATTTGAGCAATTTGACTCACCTCTACCGCTTTCATTGGTATGATAAGACATGCGTTATTACGATGATATTACTTCGGGTTAGACATGCGTTATTACGATGATATTACTTCGGGTTATTGTCTTCTCAAACAAAAGAATAACCCTTGAGCTTGATCTTGGATTAGGTCAAGAACTCACAGATTCAAAGATAAAAAGATCATTATAAATATAAAATATAGCTAGGGTGCTGCCCTGCTATTATGGACACTAACTGACACGCTCTCTAATACATGTGTGGTCTACGTACAATGGTAGGGTCTACCTATTCGAGCGAACAAGCATGTTAGTTTTTTCTGTGTCTGAATAATTTATTGTAAAATGTAATGACTTGTTGCGTGAACTGATCACAAATTCATGCATTCATTCAACATCTACGACATATATGACACAAAATATGAGTGGATACTTTCCCAGTATGTTCGGGAGCTGCTGCTACTCATTGCTCCTCGTCTTAGAAAAATCCGTTCGAGGCATTTCACTGCTTACTTTCTCACCACCAGCTGCAGGTGCTGCACTAGTTGATTCAGCAACTGAATCATTAGGTATCGCATATTGTGAAGGCGCTACAGGATCTATTCGATTGCTTGCACTGGAAGCTGAAAAAATAGAGGACTTACTCATTCAATTGTTTGGTTCATTGGTTGTTTGTACGCAGAAAACCATAAACGCTTAACTTCACACCACTTATCACTTCAGCTGACTGAATGATAACTCTTTCATATGCTATTAAGCATTCCGAGCACCCTACCCCTTCGACATCAAGTTCTGCATACAAGTGTTGGTTATTTTAATTATATTTTATTTTAAAGATTCAAAACTTATTATTATTATTATTTTATTTATTTTTAATGTTTAAGAGTTGTGTTTTATTTGAAGAGTCATAATCCTTTTCTGAAATGGTATAAGAAGTTATTTAAATAAGAAACCTCAGGCAGAAAATAGTATACGCTAAAAAACTTTTCTGTCTCCCTCAGCTTTCACATCTCTACTTTATAATTCTTGGACAATCGATACGCTAAAAAACTTTTCTGTCTCCCTCAGCTCTCATATCTCTACTTTATAATTCTTGGGCAATCGATCACTACTTGGCAATTCTGTATGTCGTTAGCGTGCATAATGGATCAGACATCCTATGATGGGAGTTGTAGGCACCGCCATAACCTGCACGTAGGGAGGCGCCTACGGCTTTAGACCAGT